ATCCCATGCAATAAATTATTTATTAAAATAAGATCACTCCTTTTATAATATTATAATATTAGCCTAGAAAATTTTGAGTGGTAGAAAAATTCTAAATATTCTAAATATATATATATATATATATGTATATATGTACATATATATATATATATTATAAAAGCTAAAATACTTCACCATTTCCTATTTCTAAAACCTAAATTTCACTATAAAGAAATCATGTTGATTAAAAAAGTACTTTAAATTGTCTACTTTTTCTCGGCAAATTACAAATTTTTATTTTTAAGGAATATGAGTTTCCTATCATATATTGTATATTGAAATTCAATGTAATAAAAGGTTAAAATAGCATAAATTTTGCTTTCCATAGAGTTATAGATATGCCACATTATTTAGAGGAATTAATATTTGATATAAATACAGAAGCACACAGCAGGCTTAAACTTCATGGGAAAGGATCTTTGAAAGGTGTCCAAGTCATAGAGTGTGTGGGAAACTCTTGTGTGGTAAGAATAGCATCATTACTGCTTGGTAGGAGTATTAATTTTGTAACACATGTGTATATATGTGAAACTGATATATTTAAACACTCTTCTCTCTCATATATATTTCTTTAATTTTTAGTGTGTCTACAATGTTTGGAAGCCATCTCCATATTCTAATTGTGGAATGTCCTCATCACTGTTTTAAGATAATCTCTGATCCCATTACCAGCAATACAATAGGATTTCATTGTAATGAAGCTGGGCCCTGGTTGTTCTCTATTTCTCTGGATTTGCTTATTAGATTCAAATAGACAGATCCTACTAAATGCATCCTCCTGTATGTATGTTTTCTGTGGCATGAATCACCTTCTTTTAGGGAGTAACATATATCTGTGCTTCATTTCTCATTGAAGCATTAAGACTTCACTCCAGGCATAGATGACATAGAAATTTGCATTAACCACTAAATGGACAGCGGTTATTTCTTCTGTAACTATTTCAACTTTTGCCTCTTTGATCATTTCTTGACAAGTTGTGTTTTATTTTGTTTTGTGCCAATATTTCTTTCATGCTTGTGCATATATACACGTAGAATTGAAGGTTGTAGGGTGTATGGTAAATCCATGTTTCGTATTTTAAAGAATTGCCAAAACATTTTCCTAAAAGTTCTTTACAGTGGAGTGCTCAGTCCCATCTGATAACATCTACAACACTCCCGGCTCAAAGACTACTGAAGAAGGAAGGAAAGAAAGATAGTAAGAGCCAGAAGTCCAGGATGTTGGCTGTAAGATAATGTGTCTACACTTGACATGGAAGATGCACCTTTGAAATCTCAACAGTATGTGGCCTAAAAAAGAATTGCATAATGACAACACTAGCTTATATGCCAATATGGATGAGGGAACTATCACAAGGCCTAGAAAGATATTGATTAATTGATTGCTGAGTCATGAAGAATCATTTTTCTCCAGGGATTATTTACTTGATAGTTTAGCCACAAAAAGCAGTCTGCTGTAAGCACATATAAATAGGTCACTAAATTTTCCCAACACTCAACATGTTCTATG